AAGGTTGATAAAAAGTGTATATTGTCAGTTAATTGTGAAAAATCATTAAGTAACATTTAATGAAATTAAATTATGATGTACTTTGATGAATTGACATATAATAAGTTGATGTTATTTTAATGCAATTAATGAGTTTTTACATCAATAAATAAGATCAAAATTCACAAATACTTACAATTTTAACTCCATAAAAAATATACTTAGTGACTTTTTGCAATATAATTTATTGAATTGAATTGGGTAAAATAAAAACAATTTTAATAAATATAATAGGCAAAAACATATTCAAGAAAAATATTTTTAAAAAGTAATAAATTCTAATAATATATCATTATAAAAATAAAATTAAATATCTTAGTAAAATGTTAGTCATTAAGATCAATCATTTCAACCAGACATAGACAAAACCACAGTGAAAAGAATTAACTAGAGATGACATCGACCTCTTGGAACAGAGCAGGGTATGCTTTCATCTCCTACCACTCGGGTACCATCCTTCCCGGACTGTTATTATAATTTCCTTGGATTTCAAGATATCTTATTTTTTTTTTCAAATATAATTTTAATTGAAAAATGTAGAAGAACTAATTTAATCTAAAAATGACATTGATTGAAGCTGAGAAATAAGTGAACACACTAATTCAGATGTCAGCTGAGTATATTTTTTCTATTCTTTTTTCAAGGACTACAATCCTCAGTACCTGGTATCTCTGATTACATCAAACGAGAATCATTACAATATAAGAACTTTCACAAGATCATTCTTGGTTTTTAGATGTTTTAAGGCCTTAAGACAGGTTCAATGATACAGATACTGGATATTATGTGGTCCTGATCCTGGTTTTGCTTCCATTTGTAGAATTGGGTGCAGTAATTATTCCTCCAGTGAATAGCCGCCTTCTTATGTCAGAGGGAATGGAAGTGGATTAATCTTATGCTTTAATTTTTTACGAGGAAATCTGCAAGTGCCAATGCTTATCCTCATATTTAATGCTTTTCTATTGATATCAAGAGGCGCTTGTTTCGTTTCTCACTTCCATCATCAAGCTAAAGACATAACAAAGCACTTTGGCTCTCTCTTCTTTATTACTTATCTTGTACTTGTCTCTATTTATTCATTTATTATTTCTTTTCATGCCTTCGGGCAACACAGAATTCAGCAGGAGTAGATCATAGATACTAACTCTCTTATTATACAATTATAGACCTATGAAGTACATCGAGAATTCATGCATCAGCTCACCTGTTTCAAGGTTTATCTTGAAATGGTATACCCCAATCGCCATTTTCCACCTGCACACTAAGGCTCCACCGGAAGGCCTCATTTGCAGAAAAAAAAAACAAGTCAATTATTTTTGAGACCAAACATACCAAAGTACAAGAAAAAGAACAATCTTAGAGCCCTCCTTCTCTCTCCCCCCCCCTCTCTCCTTGAGGGGCTCAAATAATTCTACAGTGAAAAAAAAAATTAACAATTATTTTTGGAGAACTTCGGATTGGAATAAAAAAATATAAAATAATAATTTTAGGGGCAAAACATACCATGGACAGCACTAAAATAATATAAAACAATGATCTGTGCAATCGGAGGGTGCCCCTAATCATTCTATGGCAACAAAAAAGTACAAAATATTTATTTTGGGCCCCAAAATTTTTGAATATTAACGAATACAAAACAATTATTTTTGTGACCAAATATACCACGGACATTCAAAGAATAATACAAAACAATGATCTTTGGCACATTCAAAGGGGGCTCCCCAAATCACTCTATGGTGATAAAAAAGTACAAAAACATTACATTGGTGGTCCACCAGAAGAGCCCCAAAAATTTGCAGAAATAAACGAACAAAACAATTAATTTTGGAGCCTTCAGAGGAATCCCCAACCAGTCTATATGAAAACAAAACACTAGTAAAAATGTTGACCGACAAAAAGAAGTTTTTACCTACATAGAAGATATTGACAAATAGTTTTATCAAAAATTTAGACAGATGGTAATGATGTTGGAAAATGCCCAAAAAGGCCAACAGTTAAGTTACAAATGTGTATGAAATAATTTTTGGGATGAAAAAATGGGTCCAAATTGGTTAACTATTGATTAATAATTATATACCATCACAAAACCAGTCCTTGAAACTGAATACTTTTGTAGTTTTGAAAAATATATTTTTAACCCATATTTATAGATTTAATTTTAATTTTAACTTAAAAAAAATTTGTTGATCATTTTAAGTGACAGTTTCATATTAAACAACATCTATAATCTTGATTTTTATAATGTATTTTCATAATGTATAATTTGCCTTGTATAAGTAGTGCACTCCTCATTCTCCCAAGAAATTTTAATGAGTTCATGTTCAGTAGAATTATACAATTACACTAGCTCGCTATTCCATTTTTTCTTGTTCTCTCTGAATTAAAAGTACCTACATATTGAAAAAAAAAATATATATATATCTTCAAAAATTTTGAACTCCATAAAAATTTGCCTCTCAAAAGTTTGGATGGCACATTTTGCTAAACGCCACCCTATCCGCCACTATTTTAGCTACTATTTTAGCTAGCCTACTCGAATCTGATCATATTGACTGAAATCCCTATCAATCATTTGCCAACCCTAAAGTGTAGTGTCTATCAGCAGTAGTCTTATCAATATTTTTTTCAGATATAACCTACAAATACACTTGAAGCAGGTGGCATTCCACTGTATTTTGAGTTACAGGCAAATGATCTATACCAATTTATTTATTAATAAAATATTTTTCCTTCTATATTGTTAGGTTGCTTGTTTTAACAAATCTTGACTAAATATACCTTAAAATTTTTTTGGGTTATCCAAAATGGAAATCCCACTCACATAAAATTTTAGATTCTATGATATTCTTGAAATCAGAAGATTTAATTTTGCCAAATAAATCACTGATGATGTCATTAAATCATGAATGTTAAGGCAGTAACAAACTTTGCCTCTTCTACTAGAGAGCATCTAAATCTAAATCTAACCCTTAAATAACTAAATTTCATTTTATTTTATTTAAAATTTGTATAAAACTTGTGAGCTAAGATAACGTAAAACATATTTTATCAAAAATGTCTGTTTAAAAAATTAAAATAGGTTTTTCAACAATATATAACTTTCAGTTTTTAGGCTTATGTTCTGTTATTTGTATTGATTTTCCAAAACCAATATAATTCTCATTTCATAATTCTCATGAAATTTATTGAATTTCTATACTACACTTGATTTTTTAAAAATACTTTAATGTGCTTTTTTTAAATGATGGTAATGGTGTTGCATGTTAGCTACCATTTTCAACAAGAATCATTTTTGTTTTAATTAATTTCATCTCTAACATTTCCACTATACTAGGCTACACCTGAGGGAAAAGCATGACCTTGAACACAATTCAAAATTATATTTAATTATAATAACCTATGTAAACAATCTGAAAAATTACACACATTTTTTTTTATTAAACTAGTTCTTAAAAAAGTCTATTTATAATAGTGCATTTTTATTTCTTTTTGATTAAATTTGTAACTCTAAAATTCTAATTTGATTTTTTAGCACTATCGAAAGGTTGCATAAATCAAAGAAAATTATTATTGGATCTCTAATGGTAATTCGCAAAAACCAAAATTAGGTAAGTTATTATTACTTTATAGCTAATGTTATATAACCCTTTTACACTATAGATAGGGTCCATTCCAAGTATATATACAATTTCAATTTACAGAGAGTTCTAGTAATGCTTCTTATCAGTTGAAATGTAATGGATAAAAAAATTATTCTTAATTTAATTTATTCTTCATTTATGGCAAACAAAACACTGGTCATTATCTAGTGGGTATCATCTTACCAATCATTACCTTTTGATTTAATTTCGAAAACGATGTGAACATTATTTTTTCAGTCCGACAAAGTAATAATTTTCACATGTATATATTATTCATACATACAAATATGCGAATATAAACTCAGAAATAACCTGACAATTGCCAATCTCATCTGTAAAGAATAAATGGCTAACCTTGGGAACTGGATAAATTGTGTGAATAAAATATCCTCTTTACGTGAAGGGAGATTTTAGCAATTAATGCAATTTTATAACAATATAATAATGCAATTTACTGTATTCCAACAAATTTAAAATGAACAGTGAAAACATATGATGAACCTATCCTAGCTATGTACCATATTTATGATGTGAATAAGTTAAAGTAGTTTATGTAAATTCATTTAGTATAAATTAAGGTAGTTTATAATCTTTAAGAATTCGAAGAGGTACTTTTACAACTCCCTTAACAAAGGGGAATGCTCAAATCCCAAAATGAGTAATTTTTTTTTTTAAACTATACATACTTTAATATCATAAATGCAGTTTCTTGAGTATATATATTTAAAAGTTATTTGAGATAAGAGGAAAAACATGTTTAGCAAATCTATTAACTCTTACTTTTTTTTTTTTATTTATTAAAATCCATGCATTGCTACAATCTATGATATGTCCCGGGTACAGTACTTGATAAGGAAGTAATATTTCTGCCTCAGCAGCTATGCAAGGAGGTGATATGATTATTTAACAATACATTAAGATTTCAACGATACATAGGTATTTTTCTTAAAAGATGGTGGTGATATAAAACAATTTTAAGACCTCGAGAGCATTATTAAACCTTATTTTAACAACTAAAGAGACCGATATTTTGTTAAAAATATAAAGATTTAATTTTATCCAGATTGTCATATGGTAGGATAATCACGTTAAAGAATTTCAAACTGTGTTGAATAAAATCCATAATTTATTTTACTGGCTTTAATATTTTCCTATCCAAACTGTAAGACTTCATCAGAGCTAAAAAGGAATGAGGGTATATAAGTATGTATCTCCTTAATGAACTCCATTCTCCATTCTTTTTAACCCTAATCAAGACCTGAATAAAAGACTTAAAATATCAGTGAATGACATTTATAGGATTTAAGGAAATACTTTTCAAAAGATTTTTATTTTTATTTTAACAATAAATAAAAATTATAATACAAATATCAAAATTGTATACATAATGTTATTGAAATGAGTCACTTTCTAACACTTTAACATGTTTTATAAATGTATGGCGCCTTAAATTTTTCAATAATCTTGCTTTATAAGAACAATAAGAACATTCGAACTGAGGAGCCTTTCCTCCACACTCATACTTCTTATGAACACGTAGGCTTGCCTTGTGCCTATAGGTTTTTCCACAATCACAGGTAAATTCTTTCATATTAAAATTCTTACCTGAAAAGATAGGTAATTGATATAACTAATCTGAAAAAAATTATAAATTTGGATGTTTAAGATTAATCAGAAAATAATATTTTTTCATAAAATAAATAATACATTTGGTAAGAGTTAAAAAAATATAATGCAAAATTCAAGCATTAAATCAATAAATATTTCAATTGAATAAATGTTTTGATACGTCCAATACTTAGTTTGCTACTCTTTCACAATTCAATTAAATAAGTTATGACATGAAAGAAAATGATACTGCCAATAAATAATAAGCCTTTAAGTCTCACATCATTGTTTAATTATTTTCATAATGATCAAGCAGCAATGAAATCTAGATTAAAAAAATACTATTATTAAAATAATAATACACAACATTGAGTAAATAAATCAATATTCAAAATCTGTCAACAAACAAAATTTAGAAAATAAAAGGAGGAAGATCAGATAAAGTTGAATAAAAGAATTAACAATTAATAATATCACTTAACAATAATTATTTGGTTTGTAATCAAGTTGATAGAGGTACCATTGATGATGAACGCCTGCCTTATAGTGAATGAAGATGATTTGAATTCAAATTTTTTGTAACTCAAAAAACTATTTATTTCATCTTTATCTCCCAACATAGAGTCTGACATAAGGTCCAGTACTTGATAGGCATTACTGTTTCTTGACTGGGACTACAATGAGTTTATCAGACCAAAAACTTCAAGATTTTCTCCAAGCCAGGAAAAAATAGATGCTGTCCAAGAGGTTCTCTCAACAACAGAGACAATCTATTGCTGAATTAATGTTTTCAGCAAAGACCGATTCAAACCTAGGCCTGGAAAATTAAGATATTCAGTGCCTTACGTAATGAGTTCTCTATTCCTTAAAAATTGAAAATTTAGATAAATTAAGAAAGCCAAAAACAAATTGAGCAACAATTAGTTCAAATGGATATAGGGTAACTAAAAGATGATCATTCAAAAATATGGGTAGGAAGAAAGGAAGGGAAAGTATTATTCAGGTGAGGAAATATTCTAATTTATTTATTTTTCATAAAACAAATAAATAAAAAAATATCCTATTCTTAAATCTAGTTATTAAAATTAAGTCTTTAGAAATAATATTTTGTTAAAATACAATGTATTTTTATCCTACTTAACATATCATACTACAAGGATTATGTTATAAAAATAAATCACATCAAAGACCAGTAACAAACTATTAAGTTTTACATTATAAAATAAAACAAACAGTATTCCCATTAAAAAAAAAAAAAAAAAAATATGGGATCATGGGTGTACTGTATAAAGATGTAAATACTTTCTAATAAAATATGTTTTTTACAGTTAAAATATGCAGATTAACTTTCATACAGAATTTATAAGCCCATTTTCTACAGAAATATATAAAGCTCCATGCCTAGTACCGATATGAGATTTAAGATTGCTCTTTATTTTCGTTTTGTAAGGACAATGGGGACACATGTATTGAGGTTCTTTACCACATTCGTTTCTTTTATGTGCAGACAGATTTCCTTTATATTTGTATGTTCGGCCACATTCACAAACATAAACTTCAGATGTTAGAGCTAAAGAAACAATAAAAAAATTAATTAATTAATAAAGTAACATTGAGAATAGAAAACTAATCTAATATATTTTATACATAAATAATAAAAATTGCCTATAGGGTATTTATAAAGTAATTATATAATAAATATAATAACAGATGTTTTTGTTTTTTTTTCTAATGCAAATCTTAGTCGTTTTTGACTATTGAGGCTTCTGTAATGTGCTGCTTACATCACGCAACTTCACTTACCACTATATTTTAGTAGAAATAAATATTTTTAGACAAAGGAAAGTGAAAGTAAAAATTATAGACGACATGAAATATGATTTAAAACAATTAATCATCACATGTTTTTCATAGCTTTCTAAAGTATTATATTTATGTTTTTTTATCATTAAGAATTTTTTTCTTTCAACCGTATATTTTAATTAATTATTTCATAATAATAAATAATTAAGTGCCATAAAATACTTTTATTCTGACAAGAGTGTCTGCAACTGATCAGGAAGGTAGCTATGTTAATTTATATATTTCAGTGTAGATATGTTTATTTGTTTAAACATTGGTATATACACAAATTTTAATATTTAAATTGCTGGAATCTAAAAAATTTAATATTAAATAATATCAACACTAGCATTTATGAAAACTGCATATGTATATGTGTATATTATTATCATCAGAGCCTGTATTATATTAAGCATGCTTAATCTTTGAAAGCCTATTCTAACTTTTCAGCCAAGCTTGGGTTACTTCCGTTCATCTATTACTGCTATTCTCTGTAATAATCCCTTATTTCTCCTTAAGTTAAATATTAAATTCTTTCTTATTTTATATTTATCTAGTTTTTATAGCAGACTACAATGTGAAATGGCTAATTATTCCAAATAAAATAAATAAAGGTAATTGAGAGAAAGAAATATTAAAAGTTAGACATTTAAGCTCTGTTAGAGAATATCAATGAGAATTAGACTTACATTATGTTAAAAACTGCTTAATTTTACACTGATATAATGAATTTAATCAAAATTATTAAAGCTGTGTTTGAGAAAATCGTAAAAATGGATAAAATCAATGATATAAAGTGGCACTTTCGGTTAGCCAATTTCCAGGAAAAAGTTGCTGTAATACCAATCTTAAATATATAATACCATTTTACATTTTTTTCATTTTTGAGCTATACTGATCACTTACACACATATAGACCATTCTGCAGGACTTGGTTATTTGAACTCAGAGGACCTCAAAACATGTATTTCCGTTGATAACTCAGATTCGAAAATTTTTATTATTGCAATACTTTCCCTTACTGAATATCACATAAAAGTAAAAAAAAAACTGTCAAAAAGTAAAATAGAATAATCAAGTTTTAACACTCCTGTAATTAGATGATAACCTATTTAAGTGCATATTTTTTTTTAGTAGCCGAGCGGGCTAACAGTTGTGCAAAACAAACGTTGCCTGGCAATAACATGATAAAATAATTATACATTTGAGTCCCAGTGGTGGGAGCTTATAATTCTGGCATAAATTCTCTGCCCTCTTCCTTGACCCAGAAAAAAAAACCTGGATAGTCCAAAAGGCGAGGAAGAAGAGGAAAAAAAGGTATCATGATGTAGCTGATGTTCAATTACATTGTTTAATTCTGTTTCACTGCATTGCTACTAAATTTTCAACTGAAGGTCAGAAAATGTAGTAGAAAAGCAGTGAAACAGAATTTAACAATGTAATTAAACATTGCCTGAAAAAATAACAATAAAAAGTTTTGGAAAATGAGATTTTAAAATGCTGATACCAACAATCATAGTCTATGTGTTTTTATCCACTGTAAGGCCTTAAAAACCCAAATCTCAGAATTAACATTATTCCAATAAGATCTCTAGACTTTTACACACTGATTTATCACTGATTACCTTTCAAGATATTTGTTTATTATGAAACCCAACAACTATGCCCTTTTCAAACTCGACAATTTGACTATGTACTTCGATTATATTTAATAGATAAAACCTGAAATTTCATAAATAAACAAAAAAAATAAATAAACAGAATTTTAATATAATTTTTCACTATTAACATAATGATGAAATACAAAAATAATTAGGTCACTAAACTTTCAGTTAAATTAATACAATGAATTTAAGAAATGTACATAATAATAATCAGTTAATGACTAGTCTTAATAACATGACTGCACTGAGTAAGAGATATACAAAAAAATTTACTCTTAGATTAACGTGATATTAATATTTTAAAATTTTATTTATTTATTTCCTCTCCCTCATTTCTCTTTTAACAATACAGGATTCTAATTTTTTGTATAGAACAATAAAAAAATATCGGAAATTTTAATATGAAATGAAATACACATCATTATCTTCAGATCTAAACAGTCTGTCAATTTCTTTCTATCCAAGGGTCATCCAGAATAGAATTTGTAGGAGTTGCTGACTTCTTCGCCTTACCCCCAAGTCAAAATGAGCAATGTCCACTATTTTCTTCCTCCCATACATAAACGTTTTGTGATATGGATATTCTTTGCGAGTAGAATAGAAGGAATAGAGGCCAGCAGAGGTAAATCATTTACATTGAAACTGCAGAACCTAGTACATCTCTTTAGCTTGGCCCTCAGCGCCTTAAATGATGTTCATATTAATACATTAAACTATTAAGTACATAAATAATTACATAAACTATTACACAATTCATTTCGTTATAAAAACAAGTTTAAATTGACAGTATACCTACAAGAAATTACAAACAAACTATAAATTAAACAAATTTTGGAGCAATGCAAACTTTTTTTTTCTTTTGGCTTTACTGTGTTTTGACCTATGGCATCTTAGGAAAAAATAGGTATCATTTACTTGTAAGAAAATTGAGGTTTGTCAAAGATTGATCTTAATCTATAATACAAATATTATTTTACCGATTACAAACAATAAGAATGGGGGAAACCTCTATATTTTGACAGGATTAGCCAGCGGAACTCAAAAGGAGGTTTCATGGTACAAGTAGCGCCTTCAAAATTTTTGGAGAGGGCACATTTTGACGAGGTTTTGAATTATTGAGGGATACATTTGGAGGAGGTTATGAATTTTCGGAGGAAAAGTTTCAAACTAGGGAACAAGAGAAAAAACATGGACGAGACAGCATTTACATATGATACACAGTAAGTGCAATTGCATATGATCTATGATTTTTCTAATTCTACTTAGGCATGATGCACCGTTTTTAAAAAGAGGAGAGGAATTGGCACCTCTTGGGTAAGCATCACTACAATACCACCCTATACGACCATTATGCTATCTTGTAAAAATTATAGGAATTAAATTTGTATGACATGCCTTTTTCAAGCACTTTCTTGTAAAATATACTAAAATGAAGTTTTGGGGTTTTCATTGCGTATTGTCAATATGTTTTATCCACTCTCACCAATCCCCAATAAACATATGACTTGTCAGTCAAGGTGTATTCCAAAACTAAGATTACCGGACCTCTGTTTTAGAATACACCTCATAATTTAATACTACCAAAAATAATTAAACATTGGGTGTTAACCCTATAGATTGAATCATCAAATGAAAATCGCCAAATGGAATTAAATGGTTTATTTACAGTAATTAAAAAAAAATTATTGGAATGAGAATAATTTTATGTTTCACAGAATTATAATTAAATTATGAGCAAAAATTTTAATTTCGTCAATCAGAATCAAGTAATTATGGGATTCAATTGCTTTATAACAGGTTTGGGTCATAAAGCATGGCATGTTTAACACCAATGTGTGTTCTCAAACTTCTCTTTACTTTTGCTCTGTAAGGACAGTGAGGACAACTGAATTGAGGTTCTTTTCCACATTCATGTTTCTTGTGGGCATATAAGCTAGCTTTATGCTTATAAGATCGACCACATTCACAAAAATATACTTCATTTGCAACAATTCCTGCAAAAAAAAATTTAAATAAATAAAAGAAGAATTAAGAGACTTTTTTTAAAATTTCATTAATGGGAAATTAAAAGGTAATTAAGAACAGCTTTATTAAATTAATACTTTGAACAAAAGCTAAATTAGCTATTTAGTTATGGATGATTGCATATTAAAATGATTTATTTTAATCCTTTTACCTGCTTCAAAACCGTTCATTAAAAGTAATAAATTTCAATTCGATCATTTTATCTCAACATTTTTTATTCTCATCTTGAGCATATAGGCAAGGAGGACCTTATAGTAATAATAGTAAATGAAGCAAGACATGTTTAGATAAATTAGTCTATATTGAAGTTTAGATATAATAAGGTTCTGGAACATTGGAGAAAAGAATAAAAATATACTGAGAAAAAATTAATAAATTGAAGTTAAATAAAAAAAAAAAAAAAAATTAAAGAAAGAAATTCCATAGTATATGATAACTGTCTTTGCCATTTTTATATCAACAATATTAACTGTATCCAGAGAATCTTCAAAAACAAATGTATACAAGCTATTTCAGTCAATTTCACTGATAATTATAAACTTAGTTAGACCACAGTTTCCCATACATCCAGGGTAATAACCTTTCTACTCCATCACTTGTTGGATTTAATGAAATATATAATGAATTTTCGAAATAAATATTTGTATATGTTGTCACATCAAATTTAAAACAGATAATATTTTCTACACATCTTCAAATTCAAAGCTTTGGATTGAAAATAGGGAAAATTGTTTTAAATAAATCCCATACCTTAATGGGCTTTAAAAGATAGTAACAAATTATGATGGACACCTCCTGTAATCCTTTATAATGTTGATTTTATTAGTTCCAGAAGGCACTTATATATAAAGGTAACCATTTAGATATAATTTAAAGATTAAGTGGATATCAAAACCATCAGAAAAATCTTAAAATTCAATAATTCAAAAACTTAAATGAAAATTAAATAATTATCAAAAACTGCTATATTATATTATAATAACACTTTAGGAGGTTAAAAAATAAATAAAATAAAAAATATAATTATTAGTTGGTTTTAGCTAAGTTTGTTGATATTGTGCAGCCGCTATTGTGCAAATAGGACTCGATTTGTAACACAAGAATCAGTGGCCAAAACCCTATGAAACAAAAAACTCAACAAAATTGGTCCACCCATTCAAAAGATGATTCTGACACAGACCTATAGCTGAAAATGCTTTTTTTTTGGACTCGAGGAACTCCAAAACATAAAAATCTGTTGAAAACCGCACATCAAACATTCGATACGATAATGATACTTATCTTATACAGCAGTAAGAAAGAAAAAAAAAATATACAATTTCTTTTAAGGTTTATGTTATCTTAAACAAATAAATAATCCAGAAATATAATCATTAAAATATTATTGCTATTAGCTTCAACTGTTATGTCATTAATCAGTATTTTGTTTAAAAGCTCTACATAACTTGTATTTCCCCTCTTCTCCACTTTATAGTAAAAAGAAAAATCAATAATTGAAAAACAATTCAGATAATTATAGTCTCTGAACTAGCCCCGCCCTACCGTGAACTCACCACCCCTCTCACATCCATATAAATTGCATATCGTTGTGTTCTTCTTAACTAATTATTAAAAATAAGCCAACGTTCCCACAAAAAAAGTGGAGACGCTGTCCTGAAATGGCGTCCAAACATGGCGGACTGATGATTTTGACTTTATTTAGTTTTTTGGTCACTGAGAATCAGCATTTGGCTTAATTTCGTCATAGTTGGTCTTCTATTAAATCTGGATAGTCAGAGAATAATAAAACATGTAAAAATATTAAAAAAGTAATTGGCTTAGGCAATAAAAAACACCAGTAAAGTCAATTTTCTTAAACAAAAATTTTTTCAAGTTGAAAATCAAGTGTTGTTTGTAATTAAATGGCCAATAATAACGGAAAATGTGCTGAAATAAAACATCTGGAGAATATATTTTTCTTTCTAAAACACTGATTACTTAATAAATATTTGAAGCAGTTCCATAGAAAATGTACATAAGTGGCAGAAAAGTGGTACCGGCATAGGTGCCTACAGGCCTCCCTCTACCACACCATTCAGTACTCATAAATGTCTTCTCATAGTTATAAAGCTATAATAACGTTTTTGGTACATTATATTGATTTTATTAATGAACAAATATTAATGCAATAATTTAATTGTCCAAACAATTTTTTTTTTAATGTATTATTATTTTTTCTCAATTTAACTTCCTTTATTCTATACGGAGGTCATTTAAGAAGGCCTCTATTGTAAAAGTGATATAATTATAATAATAAAACTTAATTCAAAAATACTTTGCTGAATATCTTGAATTT